CGACGAGAGGCCGAGCATGGGGGATGTGATCTGGGATCTGGAGTATGTTCTTCAGCTTCAGATGATGCCGATTCGCAGAGAGCCTCACGAGGATAGCGCCGCGACGATCTCCGGCGGCGGAGGCGAAAGCTCGTTGGTGATTCCGAGGTTGATGGTGAGTGATTCGTTTAGCTCAAACTCGATTGTTCAGAAGAACGAAGGGAAGAGTAGCTATGGAGGTACAGATTCATCGGAGAGTCGAGTTTTCTCCCAATTGAAGATCTCCGAAGCAAGATAAAATTTCCTATGAAACATTCTGATTTGAAAAGCGTCTGGTTTAAAGCTTTTGATATTAAAAACCGGTTATTGCCGGTTTAAATATAATCATTTTAAAACATATGCAAAGTAACGAGTCAATTGAATGTAATATAAAATTAAAACCCGGTTATCGTCGGTTTAAAGTTAATTATTCTAAGACAAATGCTAATTTCCGAATCGAAAAACAATTCAATTTAATTAACCGATAAAAACCTAATTTCAAGAAAAGTTCTGATTTGATAAGTGATTGGTTTAATTTTTGAAATTGAAACCCGGTTCCTGCCGGTATAACGACTCAGCTGTTTGTGATGTCGGCGATGAACGAGTCCAGATTCCGAGCCGATGATCCACCAGACGCCAACGCCGATCTCGCCGCGTGCTTCAGCTCCGTCACTCTCCTCCTCATATCCGCGGCGGCAGATCCTTCCCTCACGGCCTCAATACATCTCTCCACCTCTTCAACCTTAAGCTCTCCGTCGACAGCGTCGTTCCTCATCCTCACTCCGATCCCGAACACATCCACAAGCAATCTCGCGTCAAGCGGCTGATCAATCCAGCTCGGGTACGCCACCACCGGAACACCAGTCACCACCGTCTCCATCGTCGAGTTCCATCCACAGTGCGTGACGAAACAAGAGATCGCCACGTGACTCAGTATCCACTCTTGTGGACCCCACTCAATCACAATACCTTGACCTTCTCTAACCATCTCCTGCAAAACGTCGACGTTTTCGCCTTTCTCCTTTGGCCTAATCACCCAGAGAAACGAAACTCCTCTGTTTCTCAGAGCCGTTGCTATGCTCTTAACTTGAGTCTCCGAAGATTTCAGCAAACTTCCAAAAGAAATGTAAACAACCGAAGACCTAGCTTGCTTGTCAAGCCACTCCATACAATACTCATCCGATTTCCACATATCAAGATTTTTACCATCTAGGGTTTTGTCTTCTTCATCAGCTCCCAACAGAAATGGAGAAACCAGAGGACCAATTGGGATCATGGGTTTTAAACCAGACATCGATTCGATTATCTCTGATTCGAGCTCGTAGAACGAATTAACCAAAACCCATTTCACATCTTTCAAGCAATCGACGAACTCCACCATTAGGCTATTGAAATGACTTCCTGAAGAAGGCAAGAGAAACGAAGGGAGATCTCCAACTTCCAACAATGGTAAACCTGGCAATTCAACCGTTTGATTCAAATCTTCGAGATTCTCAGGGAAAGCATTCGTCTTCATGTAGTAACGGTAATAAACCGAGAAAGCTCCACAAGCTTCGATCCAGAGGATTGCACAGGGGATGTTATATGCAGCTGCAACACTTGGAACCCATGGAGCAAAAGGCACAGTGACGATGCAAGAGAATCTCTTTGATTCGACGATTTTAGACAAGTTCTTGGCTCCGACTTTTTTCAACGATGGTATGAGAGAATCTGCGGCTCTTGTGTGGTCTTTAGGCAGACCGTCGGGGAAGAAAGCAAGGTCCACTGGGCTACGGTGATGTTCTTCGGCGGCGGTGGTGGTGGAGAGGAGGTCACGGGTTTTCTCGGTGGTAGCGAGAGTGAAGCTAAGGTTTGGTCGTGAGAGATGTTTGGCGAATTTGAGCATTGGATTAAGATGACCTTGAAATGGTAGTGCTACCAATAGAACATGTGTTTCTTGACCCTCACTATTTCTCATTTCTGCTTTGTTTAGAGGTGTTACTTATTAGACTTGAGTTGTGTATGAGATTGTGTGTAACTTGTAATTGTGGTGGTATATATAACAATGGTTGCTTAACGATAGATTTTTGCTTAAAATGAAGTTATTAAGTGAGATTTTGGTAAGAAAAATCTATATATAGTAAAAATTGGTAACCCAATAAAATGTAATAGATTCAAAAGTTACCACGTTTATTAGCACCCTGCGCCTTGTCCTTAACTCAATTCAAATCTTGTATAATTGTTGACCAAAAAAACACGATATATATACCAATTCTAGTATGGTTAAAGTCAACAGTCATTACTAATGATTTATGAATCTTTTTGTATAGTGTGACACTGAGATCATTGTAATTTGTTAATGACAATCTATAAACTGTAATTGGTAATCCAATAAACGTTGGTCAATAAATTCAAATTTAATCATGTGTTTCTATGCTCTTGTAAATAAATAAATATATGTTATTTTCAATTGTGTTATGGTTATGATTAGATTTATATAAAAAATATGGTTATGATTAGATTTATATAAAAAAAAACAGGTCTCAATTCATTCGGATCAGTCTCGTTTGTATCTGTCTCACTTTTAGATTTGAAATCCGTTAAGCTCTATTTAGTTTTTGGAACTAACAGAGTAATCGGTTTATACATGCCAAAATTCTTTTAATCTATTTAAAACCATTTACGATATGATGCTTAAACATTCTTAATATTTATTTTAAATTATATAAACTAAGCTTTTGGAAGCTAATCAGAAGCTAACACACCAGTATAATTACCATTGTTTTTTTATTAAATAATAATTACCAATGTTTCAAGGCATGCTTGAATATTCCACTAAGAAAAATCATCGAAATTGTTTATACTAATCTAAAATCCTAGCAAAGGTGGGTGAATCTTTTTTTTTAAATAGTTATACATATTTTCGAGATGACAAAATTTAACAATATGATAAAATCATATGAACACTCGAACATTTATGTAGATTTTAGTTATGTTATATATCCAAGAAGAAATGAATAATATTAAGTAACATCTATTACAAATAACATATCAATTGGTAACATCAGATGGCAAATCAAATAACATCATTACGTAGTAAATTCATGTGCATGCGTTACTAGCTAAGCTTGTATTCACTTTATAAAAGAAAATACAAAATAGCAATAGCAATAATGAAGGGAAGAGCAGCTACGGAGGTACAGATTCATTGATCGAAGAGTCGAGTTTTCTCCCAATTGAAGATCTCTGAAGCAAGAAAACAAATAATCTCTTGAATCCTTCTGATTTAAATACCGACTGGTTTTAACTTTTGATAATAAAATCCGGTTATTGCCGGTTTAAATATAAACATTTTTTTAAGTCGACAAAAAAAAACATTTCAAAACAGATGTAAAGTGAGTCAACACTATGATCGATGACTTTCTAGTTGATGAGAAACGTGCACAAAAAGAAAAGGGTAACACTATGATCGATCACTTGCTTTCTCTCCAAGAAACTCAACCAGATTATTATACGGATGTCATCGTCAAAGGACTCATAGTTGTAAGTATTGAGGAATACATTTAATACATCACTAACAACTAACAAGGCTAACTAAGCTTTTTATAATGACTAATTCTTGACTTCTATTTGGATAGGTTATGATATTTGCCGGAAATGTAACAAGAACGTTAGAATGGGCGATGCTAAATCTGTTGAACCATCCAGAAGTACTAAAGAAAGCGAGGATTGAAATCGATACAAACATTGGTTTGGACAGGTTAATAGATGAACAGGATGCGAAAAGTCTTCCTTACCTCCAATGCATCATATCAGAGATTTTTCGACTTTACCCGGCAGCTCCTTTACTTGCTCCTCATAGGGCTACAGATGATTGTATAGTTGGAGGCTACGACTTCCCTCTTGGCACGACATTAATCGTGAACGTATGGGCCGGCCATTCACCGAGACCCAAACATATGGTAAGAGCCAGAAAAGTTCAAGTTAGAGCGGTTCGAGAAGAAAGGAGAAGAACAAAAGTTGATGCCGTTTGGAATGGGACGACGAGCTTGTCCCGGGTCTGGTCTAGCTCAACGGGTCGTGAGTTTGGCTCTCGGATCGATGATTCAATGTTTTGAATGGGAGAGACTTGGAGAAGAATATGTTGACCTAAGCGAAGCAACCACAATGCGTCCAACGACGCCGTTGCTAGCCATGTGTAGAGCTTGTCCTATTGTTCATAAGATTTTCAATACTTCTTTTTGAGATGTCACTCCCTTTTTAAAAAATATGTATATCCATTTATGTTATATCCATTTTGAGATGTAATTAAAATGAAAGACAAAGACTAGTCTTTGATTTGCCTTAAGATTTTCCATTTTATTAAAATTCAAAAACTATTTTTTTTTTTCAAAAACCAAAATTTAGAAGTTAAATGCTACTCCATTATCAAATAAACTCACTTCTAAATTTCTATGAATGAGGAGTAGTTTTTTACTTTGAGAAAGTGTGAAGAAATTTTTCCAATTTCTTAGTTTTTGTTTGTTTTTTTTTGAGAAAGGGTTAAGAAAAGGGAGCTTGTTTTATAATGGAATCTCTCATGCAATTATTCCCACCTGTCACTAGAGATATGTTCGTAACTTCGTAACGTCTCATGCAATTACTGACTAATAAACATGTGTGATAAGTCACCATTAATATTTATTGTCTATTTCTTTTGCTTTTAATTATTAGGGTTTTGAGTAGAAATTTGTTTCTTTCTAATATTATAGACAATATATATTGCTAGCGTTTACGTTTTTTATTTTGGTTCAAAACATAGTGGTTAAAAATAAACAAATCATAAATTTTTATTATTAGTCATTAATGAATGAGAGACGTTACGAACATATCTTTAGTTTATTAAAAAAAAAAAAAGATATCTTTAGTGACAGGTGTGATAATTGCATGAGAGTTTTCATTATAAACTAAGCTACATAAACTAATAACTCCCACGTTCGATTCAACACATTTACAACAAGAAGAAGTTCTTGATCTAAAATGGAAACTTATTTTCTTATTTTATCCCTCGCCATCTTCTTTTTCATTTCTCTTAAACTTTTGTTTAATAAACCGCATAACAAGTTTAACCTACCACCAAGTCCGGCGAGGCCACTACCGTTGATTGGACACCTTCACCTCCTGAAGCAGCCTCTCCACCGCACATTCCTATCTTTCTCTCAATCCCTCGGCAGTGCCCCAATTTTCTCCCTCCGTCTTGGAAACCGTCTCGCGGTTGTCGTCTCCTCCTACTCCATCGCAGAAGAATGCTTCACGAAAAACGACATCGTTTTGGCTAACCGACCAGAGTCCATAGTCGGGAAATACATTGAGTACAACTTCACCACTGTGACCAGCGCGCCTTATGGTGACCACTGGCGAAACTTGCGGCGTCTCAGCACCCTCGAGATCTTCTCCTCGCACAAGCTCAATGGCTTTATATCCGTCCGTAAGGACGAGATCCGACACTTGCTACTTCGTCTCTCCAAAAACTCGCAACATGTATGTGAGCTTCTACATATTAGTACTCTATGACTATATACATTATCAGAGTTTGTAACCTAGTAGTTTGTCTTAGTGTGGCCTCTAGGTCATAACCTATATATATACATTACTTGAAGATCTGCTCAGAGTTTGTAACCTAGTAGTGTGGCCACTAAATTAAAAGTCATAACTTGAGTACCATGCAACAAAAGTTTGAGAATTAATCATTTGTTTATTTGATAATAAATTAGGGGTTTGCCAAGGTGGAGATGAGATCATTGTTTATGGATTTGACTATCAATAACATTCTCAGAATGATGGCTGGGAAAAGATTTTATGGTGATGGAACAGAGCAAGACGACAATGCACGGCGAGTGAGACAGCTTATTGACGAGGTGGTATCCTACGCCGGCGCCGGGAATGCTACCGATTATATCCCAATCTTGCGTTGGATCACAAGTTTTGAGAAACGGGTCAAGAACTTAGCGGGTCGGGTCGATGAGTTCTTGCAGAGCCTGGTGGATGAAAAACGTGCGGATAAAGAAAAGGGCGACACTATGATGGATCACTTGCTTTCTCTCCAAGAAATCCAGCCTAATTATTACACAGATATCACTCTAAAGGGGATTATAGTTGTAAGTATTTATTTTCTACATTTATTAATCTTGAATAATCTATTTAATATATAACAACACAAACTAAACATTTGTTAATTTAATTTTTACAGGTTATGATACTTGCCGGAACTGAAACACTAACAGGAACATTAGAATGGGCTATGTTGAATTTGTTGAATCATCCAGAGGTATTAACGAAAGTAAGAACCGAAATCGATACCAAAATCGGTTTTGACCGGTTAATAGATGAACAAGATATTAAAAAGCTCCCTTATCTCGAAGGGATTGTGTTGGAGACCTTACGTCTCCACCCTGTAGCTCCTACACTTGTTCCACATATGACGTCAGATGATTGCATGTTGGCCGGATACGATGTTCCAAGTGGATCCATGCTATTGGTGAACGTATGGGCCATGCATAGAGACCCGTCTCTATGGGAAGATCCAGAAATGTTCAAGCCAGAGAGGTTCGAAAATGAAAATGAAAATCAAAAGGTGTTGTCGTTTGGGATTGGACGACGATCATGTCCCGGGGTTGGATTAACTCATCGGCTAGTGAGCTTGGCTCTTGGATCGATGGTTCAATGTTTCGAATGGGAGAGAATTGGAGAAGAATATATTGACACTAGAGAGGCACCTATGATGCGTCCAACTACCCCGTTGCAAGCCATGTGTAAAACTTGTCCCATTGTCCATAAGATTCTCGATGCTTATGCTTGAATTGTAACTCTTCTTGGTTTGATTTATGTTCGGAAATACTACATCAACTTGTTTTGAGTTGGGAAATAATTCAAAATCCTTCTAAGAACGCTCTCATGCAAACTGTTGAATGTATCTTCAAGGTTCTGATCACCATCTAGCTGAGTCTTTACGGAAAATTAGATCGTCACTAAATATTATCATTTTACCTTCGAATATATTGATTTTGTTGCCCTGATGATACACTTGAAATAAATAAAAAACAACCATAGAGACACTCAAATAAAAAAAAAGCTCATAGCTTTAAAATTTCTTGTATATTTTGAAACTAAAATTAAGCTATATTACTTATACTGATATTCCATTTCTTCACAGTATGATCTAATGATTTTTGCAATCCTCTATGCTTTTGTTGTTGCAATTATACTTATATCTCCATTTCATTACAGTATGATATATATATATATATATATATTGTAAGTTTTGCAATCCTCTACATATCATTCTTCCCACAGCTCTATCTGAAAATTCCATATATATGTTCAACTTATCTCTCTTCGTGTGTTGTGAATTGTGTATTAGATTTGAGTATTACATTTGTACTTTTACAATTCTTTTTTTTTTTTATAATCTTGAAGTGCTCTAGGAATTATAATTATTATATCATGTTGGATTTTTAAGAATTTTGGTTTTTATGATATTTTGTAAAAAATTAGAGAGTGATGTGTTTCTAGGGACAAAAGACGAAGACTTGAAAAATCAACCCTCGTCTTTTTCCTCATCGTCCCATTAGAAATCTCAGTTTTCTCTTCAATCTTATCTTCTTCCTCAGAATCCTCTTCACATCGACCACAGGTTTCTTCATCCATCGACTTATTGAAATTTCTTGTAGTATAAGTTAAACCAAAATGTGTGGAAACTATTCAACACAAAAGACTTTTCACTCTCTTCTTTCAACGTGAATAACACTTCGTACGAAGGACTAAATGGTGAGCCAAGCGAAGCTGAGTGGATATGGAGCACTGACTATATGTATTTAAAGAGATGGCATGAAAACAATTTAACCATCACAATTTCCATTTGCTCGCTTCTTTTTCACTATTGATTTTCAAGAAAGTTAAAAATTAGCTTAAAGAAAAAACGAAAGGCTCTTGAAACTCAATGAGTACCATTCATATTTCTCTTTCTTTTCTCCTCTTGTTCGTTTTTAGTTTTCATGACGTGTTTGCTGCTCCTACTAGACACTTGTGTCGTCCGGAGCAAAGGGATGCACTTCTCGAGTTCAAGAATGAGTTTGAGATTCGGAAGCCTTCTTTTGAGTGTTATGTTAATGGTAGCTATGTGCGCCCTTACCCGAAGACGGAGTCATGGGCAAATAACACTGATTGTTGTTATTGGGATGGGATCAAGTGCGATGCCAAATCTGGGGAAGTGATCGAGCTAGACCTCAGTTGCAGCTGTCTCTACGGCAAGTTTCGTTCCAATACCAGTCTGTTTAGGCTTCACAGCTTTCGTTTTCTCACCACTTTATACGTTTCATATAATGAGTTACATGGTCAAATCCCGTTCTCAATTGGAAATCTTTCTCTTCTTACTTCTCTCGACCTTTCTTCCAATGGGTTTTCGGGTCAGATTCCATCTTCAATTGGAAATCTATCACTGCTTACCTTTCTGAGACTTTCTGATAATCAGTTTTCGGGTCAGATTCCATCTTCAATTGGAAATCTTTCACAGATTACCACTCTCCGTTTTTCCTTTAATCAGTTTTCGGGTCAGATTCCGTCTTCAATTGGAAATCTTTCACTTCTTACCTCTCTTGATCTTTCTTCCAATCAGTTTTCGGGTGAGATTCCATCTTCAATTGGAAATCTTTCACTGCTTACCTCTCTCTATCTTTCTTTCAATCAGTTTTTGGGTCAGATTCCATCATCAATTGGAAATCTTTCACTGCTCACCTCTCTCCATCTTTCTTATAATGGGTTTTCGGGTGAGATTCTATCATCAATTGGAAATCTTTCACTGCTCACCTCTCTTCATCTTTCTTATAATGGGTTTTCGGGTGAGATTCCATCCTCAATTAAAAATCTTTCACAGCTCACCTTTCTCAAACTTTCTTCCAATCAGTTTTCGGGTCAGATTCCATCTTCAATTAAAAAGCTCTCTCATCTCCAAACTCTTCACCTCAGATATAACAAATTCACTGGTGAAATCCCAGATTCTTTTGCCAGTTTGAAAAATTTGACCGAGTTAGATGTTAGTTTCAATAAGCTTAGTGGTAATTTTCCAATTTGGCTACTAAATTTGACAAAGTTGTCGTATTTATCACTCGAATACAATCAACTCACAGGAACGCTTCCCTCAAACATTAGCTCACTCTCCAACTTGCGATATTTTTGGGCACGTGACAATGATTTCGTTGGAACCATTCCTTCTTCTCTCTTCACCATTCCTTCTTTGACAAGAATTTATTTGTCAAATAACCAACTCAACGGCACTCTTGAGTTTGGGAATATATCTTCACCAACAAAGCTAGAGTGGTTAGAGCTTGGCGGTAACAACTTGAGAGGGCCAATACCGAGATCCATTTCCAAATTAGTCAACCTCCGGGGACTTTACCTTTCCAATTGGAACACCCAATTAGGCCCAATTGACTTGAGTATCTTCTCGCATCTCAAGTCACTCGGATTTCTTTACTTATCCCATTTGAACACCACCACCACGATTGACTTGAATGCCATCTTATCATTTTTCAAGTCGCTCGAAGGATTGGATCTCTCAGGCAACCATGTTTCAGCCGAAACCAAGAGCTCAGTTTCAGATCCTCCTTCGCAAATGATACGAGAATTAAACTTGTCAGGCTGCGGTATTACCGAATTTCCAGAGATCATAAGAACCCTGCAGTCTATGGAGAGACTAGACATTTCCGACAACAAAATCAAAGGTCAAGTGCCTGGCTGGTTATGGACTCCACCAAATCTGACGTACGTGAATCTTTCCAACAACACTTTCGTCAGTTTCGGAAGACCAACGAAACATGGACTATCCTCTGGCTTGTGGTACTTGTCTGGCTCCAGAAACAATTTCACGGGAAAGATTCCCTCCTTCATATGTGCGTTGGGCTCTCTAAGCGTTCTCGATTTATCTGAAAACAACTTCACGGGAAAGATTCCCTCCTTCATATGCGCGTTGGGCTCTCTAAGCGTTCTCGATTTATCTGAAAACAACTTCAATGGTTCAATCCCTCTTTGTATGGAGAATCTCAAGAGTAATCTTTCGGTTCTAAACCTCCGTCAGAATCATCTTAGCGGAGGCCTTCCGGAGAATGTATTTGAAAGTCTAAGGTCCCTTGACGTTGGTCATAACCAACTGGTGGGAAAGCTTCAAAGATCTTTGATCCATTTCTCTGCCCTTGAAGTTCTAAATCTGGAAAGCAACAGATTCAACGACACCTTTCCGTTTTGGTTGAGTTCTCTACAAAACCTGCAAGTTCTTGTCTTACGCTCCAATGCATTCCATGGACCGATTCATCGAGCCTCCTTCCTTCAGCTGAAAATCATGGACATCTCGCATAATCACTTCAACGGAGTTTTACCGTCGGATTACTTTGTGAACTGGAGTAAAATGTCATCACTTGGGACAGAAAAAGATCGGTCGGATGTAAACTACATGGGAGAAGGTACCTATTACGAAGATTCAATGGTTTTGATGAATAAAGGCTTAGAGATGGAGCTGGTACGTATATTAAAAATCTTCACAGCACTCGACTTCTCCGGAAATAGATTTGAAGGAGAGATTCCAAGGTCCATCGGCCTATTGAGAGAGCTTCACGTGCTCAACTTGTCAAACAATGCTTTCACTGGCCACATTCCATCATCTATGGGGAACCTGACAGCTCTCGAGTCACTTGACGTTTCCCAAAACAAGCTTTCAGGTGAGATCCCACAAGAGCTAGGGAATCTCTCGTACCTTTCTTCCATGAACTTCTCTCATAACCAGCTTGTCGGTCTAGTACCTGGAGGCACTCAGTTTCGAACGCAGCCTTGCTCTTCCTTCGAACACAACTCAGGACTTTTTGGCCCTTCTCTTGACGAAGTTTGCAAAGATATCCACAAGCCATCATCGCAAGAGTATGAAACACCGGAGGAGGCAGAGGAAGAAGACGAAGAGGTGTTTAGTTGGATTGCAGCTGCAATAGGATTTGGACCTGGCATTGTATTAGGATTGACGATTGGATACATATTGGCCTTCTACAAACCGAGGTGGTTCACGAGTCCTTTTGGCCGAAACAAACACAGAAGCAGAAGCACCACAGCTCATTAAGTGAGGTAATCTTCTGAATTTCATAGATTATAGACTATGTATAGTATAATGAATTTTTCTGGGTTAATGTATACTGTATGTGAAAATTAACTTTTTACGCCGTTTTTGTTTGTATAGCGTTCTTAAACCCAAGATGAAAAATCTTTGAAAAAGAGAATGAAGCAACCAGACCATAGGACTGTAGAGAAAGAAGCTTGGGGAGAAGGCAACCCATTTTATCAAAAACTAAATATCAGTGATTGTTTCCGGTTTAGTTTTGTGTGTTTATCATATACTCTGTTTTTAGCCAATGTTTTTGTTTCTCTGTAATTGAACAATGAAAGACTGTTTACAAAGCTCAAACTTATTCCTATTTCTCTGTGATTGGACATGATTTGAGAGAGGTTATAATGCTCTTGCTCCGACTAAATCAATCATTCTTCTGCCAAATGAAGAACTAAGATTCAACACACATCTCAGAAAATTGATCCTTTTTCTCTTTTGGTAATATTAATTAGCTGAGTAAAATGATAACTTAATTAGTTTATTGAAAGATATTTCACTGAGAAATATATTAGTTAGTGGCGATCAGGATCAGCGACCAATTAAAGCTATAGATATAGTTGCTTAAAACCCAAGCTTTGCCATTACAATGAGGAAAAAAAATCATCTCACAAATCATTCCACTTTCCAACTACTGAAACTCTACAATAGTCAAATGACTCAAATCGGAATAAGAAAGTTATACATACACACATAATTTAAGGTCACAATGACAAAATCGTCGGTCTTACCAAAAAGAGTATAAGTATTCATCAAAAGACATCTTCTAAAATGAATTATATTAAAAAAATTTGGTGAAAACAAACAAGAAATTTTTACTGCTTAATTATTTTTGTTTTTAAAAACCAAAAGGTAAATGGAAGTCGCTCTAATTTTTACTTATAAACCAAAACAAGAAATTTTCAGTTATATCGTTCTAAGATGATGCAATTGATAGTATAATCTATACGACTCTATACTCCACTGATACTTTTTCGTTTTTAAGCAGACAACTTTTCAGAGTACAAATCTTTTGTTATTTTTATTCCTGGGAGATGTATATCCTATAAACAAAACTGTGTTAAATGGAAGGACTTCATGGACACCAAAACCAGAGGAGAAACGAAGACAGACGGTTTAGAAATATTTTGATCACATCCAAAAAATATAATTCGATATTTTTTATCAGATTAAAGAAAAAACGTATCATTTTGATCACATCACAAAGTCAGTGCAAAATCACATCCAAAAAACTGTGATAATTTTGATCACATCACAAAGTCAGTGCAAAATCATATAAAAAAAATTCGAATAAAGAAAAAACGTATCATGCCAAACGAAACCAAACAAATAAATAGATAACAGTTGACTGACCGAGTCAGTCATGGACAAAAACGAAGACTTGAAAAGTCAACTCCGGTCTTCTTCCTTATTGTCCCACCAATAATTTACTTTTTTTCCTTCAATCTCATCTTCTTCCTCAATCCTCTGAACATCGACCACATATTTCTTCATCCATTGACCTCAAAACTTGACTTTCATAGTTTCACTATTGACTCTCTTTCTTTCTCTCTCTCTCTCTAGATTTTCCAACAAAGCTATGGAGAAACTCTGTTTTCGAAACTCATTTTCTCTCTTTATGACGACTGTGGTCATTATTCTTCTTCCTCGTTGCACTCTTTCTGCTACTTCTATATATTCTCATCGTCCCGAGAAGTTTTACGTCAACTGTGGGTCGGATTCTATTGTCACTTATGGTGGTCGGACCTTCGTCGGAGATATGATCTCCGGTGGCAACTCCGTTTCTTTCAACAGTAAAGGAACTGAAGCCATCAATCAATCAGGATCAGGAATCTATGAAACGGTTAGGATATTCAGACGCCCTTCTTCTTACAAGTTCCAACTCGATTCCATTGGTCTGCACTTCGTGCGTCTCCATTTCTCTGCTGTCTCTTCTCGGACAGAGCTTTTAACTGCTCGTTTCACAGTCTCAGCTACTTCTCACTTGAAAAGTTTCTCGCTTCAGAATTTCAATGAGACCCCACGAGTTGAGGAGTTTCTCCTGATGATTGACTCGCCAGAATTCGAAATTCGATTTGTGCCCGATCATTCATCCATGGCTTTTGTCAACGCCATCGAAGTGTTCTCTGCTCCTAATGACCTAGAAATTCCGTCAGACTCCGACAAGAATCTGCATACGGTTTACAGATTAAACGTAGGAGGCAAGAAGATCACACCAGAAAACGACACCTTGGGAAGAACTTGGTCAGTTGACGAGGACTTCCTCTACGAAAAAGATTCTGCGAGGAACATTAATTCAACACAAAAGCCTAACTACGAGTCAGGGACAGCGACGCCATTCACTGCTCCTGATTTTGTCTATCAGACAGCGAAAACGATGAACCATAGCTCGAATGAGGGGATGGCAGATGGGATGTTGATGAACGTTACTTGGTCATTTAAGGTCAATAGCAACTCTAGACACTTACATCAGGGTTCACTTCTGTGATATCAAGAGTGAATCACAAAATCCCGACTCCGATTTCTATCTCTATGTAAACGGACAATCACGACTAGATGTAAAGCCTTCAGAGCGTATTAGGTTGGTGACTCCGTTTTTCAAAGATGTGAATGTCTCTGATGGTTTTGGACTCTTGAATGTTACAATAGGTACTAAGGATTCCACTAAGGATGCTGGTTTTCTGAATGGTCTGGAGGTGATGGAGTTTTTGAAAAAGTCAGATTCTTCAGATAAAAGTAGTTTCCGGGTTTACATCATCGCTGGCTGTGTTGTTGCTGCATCGGTTCTGGTGTTGAGTTTGTTGTTCACAGTCTTCTTGAAGCGGAGGAGACTGAAGAAGGAGAAGAAGTCAGATGCTGAGGTCACTGAATGGTCTCCTTTGCCATTGTACAGAGGTGCTGGGAGTTCCGACAATAGACCTTCTGATCCGGTCAACAATTCTCCATTACGCAGCAATAGAACATTTGATCCGGTCTACAATTCGCCATTACGCAACCTAAACTTAGGCTTGACCATTCCCTTCATAGACATTATGAGAGCTACAAACAATTTCGACGAGCAGCGGTTGATCGGGAGAGGCGGTTTTGGAGACGTTTACAAAGCCATTCTTCAAGATGGAAGCAAAGCGGCTATCAAGAGAGGCAAGAGTGGTTCAGGACAAGGAATATTGGAGTTTCAAACAGAGATTCAAGTCCTGTCGAGAATCCGGCACAGGCACCTCGTTTCTCTAACGGGTTACTGCGAAGAGAACTCGGAGATGATCCTTGTCTACGAGTTTATGGAGAAAGGTACGCTTAAAGAGCATCTATACGGCTCGGATTTGCCTTCACTGACATGGAAACAGAGACTAGAGATCTGCATCGGAGCAGCCAGAGGTTTGCATTATCTCCACAGTGGCTCAGAAGGAGCAATCATTCACAGAGATGTCAAATCCACAAACATACTACTAGACGAGAACACCGTAGCCAAAGTCGCGGATTTCGGGCTCTCAAAACTCGCGGTTCGTAATCAAGATCCGATCAATATCAGCACAAACATCAAAGGAACATTCGGTTACCTCGATCCTGAGTATCTGCAGACACACATCTTGACGGAGAAATCAGATGTTTACGCTTTCGGAGTCGTTCTCCTCGAGGTCCTGTGCGCGAGATCGGCTCTCGATCCTTCTCTTCCTCACGAGGAAGTGAATCTAGCGGAGTGGGCGATGTTCTGCAAATCCAAAGGGATAATCGATGAGATCTTAGATCCGAAATTGATAGGTCAGATCGAGCCGAGTTCGTTGAGGAAATACATGGAAATCGCGGAGAAGTGTTTGAAAGAGTACGGCGACGAGAGGCCGAGCATGGGGGATGTGATCTGGGATCTGGAGTATGTTCTTCAGCTTCAGATGATGCCGATTCGCAGAGAGCCTCACGAGGATAGCGCCGCAACGATCTCCGGCGGCAGAGGCGAAAGCTCGTTGGCGATTCCGAGGTTGATGGTGAGTGATTCGTTTAGCTCAAACTCGATTGTACAGAAGAACGAAGGGAAGAGCAGCTATGGAGGTACAGATTCATCGGAGAGTCGAGTTTTCTCCCAATTGAAGATCTCCGAAGCAAGATGAAACATTCTGATTTGAAAAGCGTCTGGTTTAAAGCTTCTGATATAAAAACCGGTTATTGCCGGTTTAAATATAATCATTTTAAAAAAGATGCAAAATAAACGAGTCAAGTGACTGTAATATAAAATTAAAACCCGGTTATCTTCGGTTTAAATATAATCATTTTAAAAAAGATGCAAAGTAAACGAGTCAAGTGACTGTAATATAAAATTAAAACCCGGTTATCTTCGGTTTAAAGTTAATTATTTTATAAGACAGATGCCAATTTCCGAATCGAAAAACAATTCAATTTAATTAACCGATAAAAACCTAATTTCAAGAAAAGTTCTGATTTGATAAGTGACTGGTTTATTTTTTGAATTGAAACCCGGTTACTGCTGGTTTAAAGATAATTATTAAGTAACGAGTCAGCTGATTGTGATGTCGGCGATGAACGAGTCCAGATTCCGAGCCGATGATCCACCAGGCGCCAACGCCGATCTCGCCGCGTGCTTCAGCTCCGTCGGTCTCCTCCTCATATCCGCGGCGGCGGATCCTTCCGTGACGGCCTCAATACATCTCTCCACCTCTTCAACCTTAAGCTCTCCGTCGACGGCGTTGTTCCTCATCCTCACTCCGATTCCGAACACATCCACAAGCAATCTCGCGTCAAGCGGCTGATCAATCCAGCTCGGGTACGCCACCACCGGAACACCAGTCACCACCGTCTCGATCGTCGAGTTCCATCCACAATGCGTGACGAAGCAAGAGATCGCCACGTGGCTCAGTATCCTCTCTTGTGGACCCCAGTCAATCACAATACCTTGACCTTCTTTGACCATCTCCTGCAAAACGCCGACGTTTTCGCCTTTCTCCTTTGGCCTAATCACCCAGAGAAACGAAACTCCTCTGTTTCTCAGAGCCGTTGCTATGCTCTCGACTTGATTCTCCGACGATTTGAGCAAACTTCCGAAAGATATGTAAACAACAGAAGACCTACCTTGCTTGTCAAGCCACTCCATGCAATACTCATCCGATTTCCACATATCAAGATTTTTACCACCTAGGGTTTTGTCTTCTTCATCAGCTCCCAACAGAAATGGAGAAACCAAAGGACCAATTGGGATCATGGGTTTTAAATCAGACATCGATTCGATTATCTCTGATTCGAGCTCGTAGAACGAATTAACCAAAACCCATTTCACATCTTTCAAGCAATCGACGAACTCCACCATTAGGCTATTGAAATGACTTCCTGAAGAAGGCAAGAGAAACGAAGGGAGATCTCCAACTTCCAACAATGGTAAACCTGGCAATTCAACCGTTTGATTCAAATCTTCGAGATTCTCAGGGAAAGCATTCGTCTTCATGTAGTAACGGTAATAAACCGAGAAAGCTCCACAAGCTTCGATCCAGAGGATTGCACAAGGGATGTTATATGCAGCTGCAACACCTGGAACCCATGGAGCAAAAGGCACAGTGACGATGCAAGAGAATCTCTTTGATTCGACAATTTTCGACAAGTTCTTGGCTCCGACTTTTCTCAACGATGGTATGAGAGAATCTGCGGCTCTTGTGTGGTCTTTAGGCAGACCGTCGGAGAAGAAAGCAAGGTCCACTAGGCTACGGTGATGTTCTTCGTCTGCGGTGGTGGCAGCGGTGAAGAGAAGGTCACGGGTTTTCTCGGTGGTGGCGAGAGTGAAGCGGAGGTTCGGTCGTGAGAGATGTTTGGCGAATTTGAGCATTGGATTAAGATGACCTTGAAATGGTAGTGCTACCAATAGAACATGTGTTTCTTGACCCTCACTATTTCTCATTTCTGCTTTGTTTAGAGGTGTTACTTATTAGATTTGAGTTGTGTATGAGATTGTGTAATTGTGGTGGTATAAATAATAATGGTTGCTTAACGATAGATTTTTGCTTAAAATGAAGTTATTAAGTGAGATTTTGGTAAGAAAAATCTATATATAGTAAAAATTGGTAACCCAATAAAATGCTGTTGAATAGATTCAAAAGTTACCACGTTTATTAGCAGCACCGCGCGCCTTGTCCTTAACTCAATTCAAATTTTGTTTAATTGTTGACAAACTAACACGATTTCCATACCAATTCTAGTATGGTTAAAGTCAACAGTCATTACCAATCATTTATGATTTTTTTGTATAGTGTGACACTTGGATCATTATAATTTTTTTAATGAATATCTATCAACTGTGCTAAGTGCTAACCCAATAAACGTTGGTCAAGAAATTCAAATTTAATCATGTGTTTCTATGCTTTTGTAAATAAATAAAATATGTATTCTTAATTGTTTAATGGTTATGGTTAGATATATAAAAAAAGCAGGTTGACAAAAAAGAAAAAAATAGAACAGATCTCAATTTATTCGGATCCGTCTCGTTTTATCTGTCCCACTTACATTTCAAATCCGTTCCATATAGTTTTTGGAACTAACAGAGTAATCGGTTTATACACGCCAAAATTCTTATAATAATTAGGAATACCTTATTAATCTATTTAGAATAATTTATAATATTTTTGCTTTTTTCTTTTTAATAAGATATTCCTAATTATTTTTGTTGTAAATATACTTTGTAAAAAACACTTTCTTAACTAATTAACTTGTCCGTGCCTGACTGAATTTTTTTTTTAAAATGTAATAGTAGTTTGGTTTATTTTTAATTGAGTATGCATTTTATTGTTTGTAGACGATTGTAATAACACAGTAAAAAAGAGTAGAAAAATGCATGTTAATATCAAAATAATTTTGTCTAAATTGTTTCAAAATCTTTGGGTCATTGTTTTACGTATTTTAGACATGATTTGTTTGTGTTATTCAGAGTTTATTTTTTTGAGTTTAAAATCTTTTGTTATGTATTATGTTTGGTGTTTTAGGTATTTTTTTTATAGGATAATGATAGGGAGTATTATGTGTCTTTTTAAAATTTTGGATGTTTTTTTTCTTTGTTTATTGTATCTCTATTGTTGTGCATGGTTGTTTTTATAATTTTTTGTACTCTGTTTTTTATCAAATGAAAGATAATATATAGTATAACACTCCTAGATAATAATGAAGTTAAGCACATTAACAAAATATTGAACTAAAACAGAGTACTTTATAGTTTGTATATTGTGAATAATTGATTCTTATATGAATATAAAATTGAAATTAACTTTAAATTTAATCATTAATTATTTTAAATAACTTTGTAAATAGTAATGAAATAATTTTTCAATTCAGTTTGATATCTTACTCTAAATAATATTTGCCTTATTTAAAAAAATATGGTCTATATGTTGGCAAAAATCTCTTTGTAGATAATATTCTTTGTGGTTTTGTGCAGTGCTCTTTTGTTATCAGTGATCAATATCTTTAAGTATTTTCTTGTTGTGACTCTTGAAAGGGCAATGTAAAGTTGACCATGAGAGAAAACTGGTTTTAACAAATACAATCCGACCTTCTCCAAAGTCTGACCTTGACTTTAGTTTATCGTCATTATAAAAGCAAGCGATACTGGAAATTGTCTTCTTCGCATCTTGAAAGAGAATCTTGCATCGACTGGAGTAACAAATATTTTTGGTATTAAAACCTTCTCGTCTACATCACTGTTAGATTTTCCTGTAATCACTCTTGCTTCGATAACGTGATTTGCTAATTGAGTGACAATAAGCCGTGTACCATTGCACAATCCTCTTTTTGGATGCTTCGATCTTCAGAACCAGTCTATGATTAGGCAAGCTTGAAATTTTGATGCTGATCAAGAATTCTTGTGTGTAGACAATATCTTTTGGAAAATCTTTGTCCAAAGTATCTATATCATCTTCTGAAATTAACACTCTTTCTGATGGGTTAATACTATCAGCGCTCAAATAAACTCTTTCCTCACCTATAGAATTAGACAATTAGAGAGTTCTGAGATATTCAAAATCTAAGTAGGAAGACGTGTTAACATATATTGTATTGTCAACAAAATAATACCTGTTAATTGTGAAAGCATATACTCGTTAATTCTCTCGACATCCAGATTTGTTGGGACCAAAATAGCTCGTTCCTTAAAAAACGTAGAGTCATCTCTATAAGCAAAGGATTCTCCATATATTTCCCTTACTATAGTTTTTTACTGGATCATCACAATCCTTAATTAATAAGTCTTCTAGAATCTTTATCTCAGTTTCTCCATCATTACGCTCATTTATTTTTCCTTCTCCGATTTCCAGAATCCATTTTGAAAAAGAGCTTATATCATTTGCATCACTCTCACTTAAACCGGTGTGTAGTCACATGTTTTTAGTCAGCCGTAGAACCTTACATTTTTTACAAAGCTTTGATGCATTCAATGCAGCTATTACTGTTATATTTCTACTGGGAGTACCTGCCGAAAATCTTCCCCAAAAACAATGACTTTGCCTCCAATAGGTTCTTCAGATTTCATTATGTCATGCATGCTTATGTCGAGTGTCTCGAAACAGAGTTTATTTATCATTGGAGCTTCATCCCAAACTATTAGCTTTGTTTCCTTGATCAAGTCTGCTAAATGTGTACCAAATTTCATCGAGCATGTTGTGCTGTTATTGATATTTATTAGCTTTGTTTCCTTGATCAAGTCTGCTAAATGTGTACCAAATTTCATCGAGCATGTTGCTTGATGCTACATTTAGGACAACTTTACCTTCAGATCTCAAAGCAGCGCCTAGAATACTCCAAAGAAATATCTTGCATGTGCCTCCAAAGCCATAGACAAAGAAAACGCTGTCTCTATTGCTTTGAACAACTCTTAGAATTTCATTATAAACACCCAACTGCTCTTCTGTGATCGTTGTCATGTATTTAATATGGTCTTTGAGTATTTTCGTCGCTGAGCAATTGATTGTTGAATTTATCAATTTTGATATTGTCTGCCTTTGGCATATTGTCAAAATTGGTAAGAGTATTTCCATGACAACTCATTAACTTTTCAATCTCGGAAAAAGTGAAATTATTTATCTGTTCCTCTGTTAGCACCAAATCTACAAAAAAAAATGTATATTTGATTGTATCAGTTCCAAATACAGAAGTTAGAGTCATAAATAAAACAATATATTTCTGAGATATTTAATTGTGAACATGTTAAGAGAAGTTTATATAGGTAAATATATACCTTCTTTCTTCCGTATTTTCTTTTGTTCGTACAATATATCTTTGGAGAATATTTCCCATGAAGCGTTCCAAACTCCAAGTACCGAACCTACGCTATTTGAGAGCATCATGATAACAAACAATTTACGTGTATATCTTGCAGAATACCAAAAACTGGCCTCCTTTATTGCTTCAATATATTCTTTGTCATCGTCTAATAATCTGTGTGCATAGCAAGCATCTTTAAATGTCTCATAGACTAGACCTTTGTAAGTTCTTATATCCTCAAAACATGTTGCACCTTAAACTTCATTAAGCAGTAGTCGTAAGTAATATATTTGACCTAGTGTTTGAGATACGAACAAAAGCTTTCCTATAACATTTTTTTCTTTTCTTGTCCTTGGTTCTGAGAGCATCTTCATTAGTGTTATCCAACCATGTGTCTCTTAGGAATAGTTTCATATTTTTTTTTTTGAGAGCGAAAAAAAAATTAAAACATTAAAAAAAAAATTCCAGCCAATCACAGCCCCCCACTTGGCGTAAGAGACAGTCTCTTCGTTTCTTATATAAGAAGCGATCCATCAAAAAAAATGGGAAATACCTAAGTTTCTGGGCCATAATTTGGGTAAGAGACCCCAATGGAGATGCTCTGAGGATCTTTTTTTTATGCCTAACAAATTTTGATGGGAGATTGAGGTATGTCACGTCTGCTGCCTCCTTGTATATTTTATAACATTCAAACCACGCTAGAAACTTAGACATACCGGCAGATGGTTTCTCCAGAACCTCCTCAATGGGTTTGTTTGGTTTATACATTAGCATCTGCTGATTAGGCAGATGGAATGTTAGCTTCTCAAACGCTGTACTTTGATATTGTATTGGGTAGGCCTCTATCTGCCAGAAAGATTCACAGGGTGCAATATACCTATAACAAAAGCACTTGTTTATTGGTTTTAAACAGATAAACACTTTCCAAATTATATACAGTCTTAAATTTGAAGGTAATTTTGTCTAACCTGCAAGTGTAATTATTTTATCTCCTTTTATTTATCTTTTCCGGCAACACCAGATCGCACATAATCAGCTCCCTTGTTTATATATTAAAACAAATACTTGATTGAACGGGTCTGATTGCACCACTCGATGTTGATATGAGCACGGTAACGCAGCATTAACTCTTTATTATATGGTATAACATATGTATTATCACAACCAATCCCTTTCTTATGAATAGTTCGTAAATCCCTTCTTCTCTTATAGAGAAGATATCCACCTGCATCAATGGTAGTTTGTTCACAATTTCTTTTGGGAAAAACTTAGAACATTTACTGTTTACCATGCAAACATATTTTTATTTGCGCCTCCACATGGTCCATTAATCATAATGTCACCTACAACTTCATGCAAAAGAGGTTTTAACTTCTTGTCTTGTATTTCAGCACTGATACTCTCATCTATATCCTATGGCGTTCGTATCTTTGAGTTTGGATGTAGGAAAATGACTATATGTGCGTGCGGTAAACCTTTTTTTTTAAACTCAATGTATATATAGCTGAAAAGGAGACCAGACAATATCAAAAATGTTTTTATTTTGATAATATAAATAAAAGATATTTAATTGATCATCTTACCTGCGTTACATTTACCAAATGTATTATTCTTAGTTAATCTGTGCATGAGTTTTTCCAATTTCATTTTGAAAATCCTACAACAAATCAGGTCTGTCTTCGGTACTCAAATTATGCTTTTTAAGATGTCTAGTAATTTCATACCACTTAAGGTTGCACGTTATTGTGATAAAAATATCTGGGAATCCATAGTGCTTGTATGTCGCCATTGCATCAAGTTAATGTTGATTCATGTACCTCTATCCTCATGTATATGAAGCAGGCATATAGACCCGGCTGCCTTGGTCAGAAATGTCACAAATTCCTTTTTCTGCAGACTTTACAAGTCGTTCATAATTATCACATTGACTGTTTTCTGATTTAAATAAAAATATCTCAATCTGTTTGTCTCTATCATCATGAAAACATCGACCAGAAATTGTTGATATAATTTTCCCAACACCATTATGGTAGGTGCTTCACCAAATCTCTCTTGAAGATGGAAAGCAAAGATCTCATACATTGTTATTTTTTTCCTTTTCCTTCCAGCCATATGCACGAAACCTATGTTAATTTCTAACTGAAAACCATCTTCACCATACGGAAAAAGTAGAGGATACTGCAGAGGTAAATAAGATGGATGTAATTCACTAATGTGTTGTTGATTCCCACTTGTACATTCTAGAATTATATCTCGTGAGTTCGCTCCCAAAACAAAATCTCATGATATCAAAGCAGCAACTTCGTTGGCAGTTGGCAGATTATGTGTCCTCCCATCTGTATCTCTCTCATAAATCAATTTTAGTTTCAGATTCTGATTATTTGGAGTCTCGCTGAATCGATCTCGGACAGTTCTAAATACTTTCACAAGAGGGTTGTGTTTATCTATCATTTTTTGAGCAAGTGTGAATATTTATAGATTACTTTAGTTATCTTTCTCTTTTTTGCCAGCCGATGTAGGATAAATGTAAAACATAATTGTCACAAATCCGTCAGATTTCCATCAGAAATCATCGTCAGAGAATCCTCGGAATTTCTGACAGAACTCTTACGGAACATGACGGAGATGAATATCCGTCTAGAATTCGTCACATTTCCATCGAAATTTTGGCTGGCGGAATTTATCCTCGAAAAGGCTTGAAAATTTCCGACGAATTACCAACGAATGTTATTCCGTCGGAAATTTTTGACGGATTTCCGACGCATATCATTTTCGTCAAAACCTCATAAATTCGTCGGAAATTTCCGACGGAATATTGCCGTGGGAAATTCCTTCGGAAGTGCCCCTGTTTTCTTGTAGTGTTTTATGCCATTTGTAGAACCTGTTTTCCTACAAAATAGTAACGATGGAGGTGATTTATAATCATGGTTCTAAAATTAGTTATAGTTGTTAAAAAAAATACAAATAAGAGAAATTTTACCCATATAATTATCTTATTTTTTAAACTATGTAAGTGGTTTATAATCATGATTTTTTAAAACAACAGTCCATTAATTAGATATATATATATATCTATATATAATTTTTTTAAAAAAACTCTTTTGTTAGATTTTTTATTAAATTTTTTTTTTGAAACGACATTCCATTATTTTTTAAATAGATTTCATTTTTTGTTTCTTTTAACATTTTTGTTAGATTTTTTCTAAATTTCGGAAACATAAAAAATGGTAAATATTAAGAGATTTTGTTTTTCTTTTTTTAAATAAAATTTTGGTTTTATATAATTTTAAAAGCGGTTTGATTTGACAGCAAAGTTAAGCATTTAACTATAATAATTTAGACAGGTTTTTTTAAAGTTTTTTTTACACGTCATCAGATAAGAACGAATAAAAAAATGACACATAATTGGAAAATAGGGCTAAATGGTTTTTTTGCAGTCGAAACTCATTATAGATCTGACACGTAAGCGAAAGAATCTGAAACTCACTCTGAACGCGACACGTAAACAAATCATTACACAAATAAGTATATAGATAATATATATTTGTCTTATTGGTTAATGGATTCATAAATGTTTTTACATTGGGAGATCTTGTTTTAATCTCATCTCATTATTAATTTACATATTAATGAAAACAAGCTTATAAAAGATTACTTGTACGTTGTAGAATTGTCGATGTAATAGTTTTCATAAGTAATAAAATAATAAATTACAGTTTAGAAAAAAGATATATTTTTAATATTTATTTTAAATTATATAAATTATAAACTTTTGGAAGCTAATCAGAAACTAACACCCCAAAATAATTACCATTGTTTCAAGAATGCTGATTACAAAATTTATAAAATGTTTAAATCAAAATTGATGAATTTTCCTAAAACTCTTTAGAGGAAAGGTCTGCATTACTGATAGCTGATATTTTACCATGCACATATATATATGCTTTGAGATTCTTTATCATAAACTAATGATGCATATATGGACTCGATTATAATCAGAGACATTCATGGTTCTAAACAAAACAAAACAAAAACAAAAATGAAAAAAGAATGTTCTATGTTTTCAAACTTGATAAATTCTAGAAACAAGATGCAAACTTAGGAATCATTCACGTAGTCAACTGATTGTGATGTCACTGATGAACGAGTCCAGATTCCGAGCCGATGATCCACCAAGCGCCAACGCCGACCTCGCCGCATGCTTCAGCTCCGCCGCTCTCCTCCTCATATCGGCGGCGGCGGATCCTTCCGTCACGGCGTCAATGCATCTCACCACCTCTTCAACCTTGAGCTCGCCGTCAACAGCATCGTTCCTCATCCTCACTCCGATTCCGAACACATCAACGAGCAGCCTCGCATCAATCGGCTGATCAGTCCAGCTCGGATACGCCACCACCGGAACACCAGTCACCACCGTCTCGATCGTCGAGTTCCATCCACAGTGCGTGACGAAGCAAGATATCGCCACGTGGCTCAATATTCTCTCCTGTGGACCCCACTCAATCACAACGCCTTGTCCTTCTCTCACCATCTTCTGCAAAACGCCGAAGTTTTGGCCTTTCTCCTTAGGCCTAATCACCCAGAGAAATGAAACTCCTCTGCTTTTCAAAGCCGTTGCTATGCTAACGACTTGAGTCTCCGACGATTTGAGCAAACTTCCGAAAGATATGTAAACAACTGAAGACCTAGCTTGCTTGTCAAGCCACTCCATGCAATACTCATCTGATTTCCACATATCAAGATTTTTACCATCTAGGGTTTCGTCTTCATCAGCTCCCAAAAGAAACGGAGAAACCAGAGGACCAATCGGGATTATGGGTTTTAAATCAGACATCGAATCGATTATCTTTGATTCGAGTTCGTAGAACGAATTTACCAAAACCCATTTCACATCTTTCAAGCAATTGACGAAATCCGACATTAGGTTATTGAAGTGACTTCCCGCAGAAGGTAAGATAAACGAAGGGAGATCACTGACTTCCAACAACGGTAAAGCTGGCAATTCAATCGTTTGATTCAGATCTTCGAGATCGGGGAAAGTGTTGGTCTTCTTGTAGTAACGGTAATAAACTGAGTATGCTCCACAAGATTGGATCCATAGGATTGCACAAGGGATGTTATGGGCAGCAGCAACAGCTGGAACCCATGGAGTAAAAGGGGAAGAGATAATGCAAGAGAATCTCTTTTCTTCGATGATTTTAGACAAGTTCTTGCCTCCGACATTTCTCAATGAGTCTAGGAGAGTCGCTTCAGTTCTTGGCTCATCTGTAGGCAGACCGTCGGAGAAGAAAGTGAGGTCCACCGGGCTACGGGGTTTGTCGGTGGTGGTGGCGACGGAGAGGAGGTCACGAGCTTGCTGAGTTGTGGCCAAAGTGAAGTGGAGGTTTGTTTGTGAGAGATGTTTTGCGAATTTGAGCATTGGATTGATGTGGCCTTGCATTGGTAGTGTTACCATCAAGACATTTGTTTCTTGACCTTCGAAACTTCCCATTGTTACGAATAATTTGTTAGAGTTTGAGGAAAGATGATTCTTTTGATTAGAGTTATACACATATTTATACTATGAGATGAAAGACATGACTCATTTGCATATTCAAGAAATGGAGATTTTCATTTCTCTAATATGTTTATATGGTCAATATAAATTTTTGTTTCCTTTAGAGGTATTCAATTTTAGACTTGAGTTTTGTGACATGTATGTTTAAAAATCTAATATTAGTATATAGAATTTGATGACTGTTTAACGATAGATTTTGCTTCATGGAGACATTATATGAGATTATGGTAAGAAAATCTATTTATAGTTATTTCTAACCCAATAAAATGTTGGTAAGGAGATTCGAGATATATATGGTTATGTTCAATGGGTCAGTTACAAATCTTATCTTATTTACTAAGGTCTTTTAATAGTGTGTGACACATGACATAACTATAATTATCTTTTTCTGATATGTGTCAAAACTTTATTGAGATTGTAACATGTGTTTAGTACGTATTTTTTCTTTCTTAATAGAGTCTTTTATTTACAAAAACATATATGAAAAAGACTTAATAAGAATTTAAATACAATGTACCAAACAAAAGTATTTAAATACAAAATATATGAGAAATTAATCTACGATTATACTAATAATTTAATTTGTATGGTTGATAAAAAACAGTTAGATATATGTCTTATAACAACGTAACACATTAAAAACAAAAAAAAAAAGAACACATAACATAACTGTACTATATGGACTTTTACATGTGTGAAAAAAAAAAGAGAGTAAAATCTTAGGTCTTAGCTAAATTAACTAAAGTTGGATATGTATATATAACGAGACACATAACTTCGTCAAGTGCGTCGTACCCACGATGAAACAAGATAATGTCGTCATCGAGCTATGCTGCAACGAGATGAGAGTTAATTTTGGAGACTGGGGGGGACACTTAAAGTATCCAAAACCTTGAAGAACACGCATCTAGGAACGCTTTCTTGATAGCCAAATTGTCTGCTACGAATCGTGCCTCCCCTTATTCAAAAAAGGCATTTGCCTTAGGCCACTAACAAAACTTTAAAAAGTGAGGGTTATATCTTTGTAACAAGTAGTTTAATTAGTAGGTTAAATTAACTTTTATATGTGGTTTTAACCATTATAAGTAGATTATATAATTAAATTTTAGGATTTTAAACAAAATATAATACATTTACATCTATATACTTTATCATTATACTAATACATACATAAAATGAAATAAATGACTAAATTCTTGCTTTAAAATAGAATTCAGCTTATAATGATACATAAGATTATTAAAAAAAAGTTTAAACCAAAACAAACATACAAAGATATAAAGTTTGCTTTAGGCCTCAATAAGTCTAGACACGGCACTGGGCCTAAGATGCAATGATATTTGAGAAATGAGATGTTTTCGTGGGTATTTAAAACACCAATCCATTCCAGCAATATCCAGGAACGAAACTTCAAGCAGTGTCTGCGAGCATATTAATGCCAAAGGAGAGGGAGAGCAAATCTGAACAGTGGGTGAAAGGTTTACCCATTTTGGGGGCAGAGCTTGATCAGTCTCCCAAAGGTGAGGCACTGAGGCTACTTTGTGAAGCCTTTTCGAAGAGTAAAAATGAATGGCCTGCTTGGCAAATTGATTTTGAGGTGAGAAATTTAAATTAAATTAAAGTCTAATTTAGCCAAGCAAGTATTATTGGAGTTTAAAATTTTAAAAATCCTAAAATTTCTCCTAATAACTTTCACAGCCGTTTTCTCTTTTTTTTTACTCATGATTTTGCAAATTTTTCAATAAAAACTTACAACATCTGACTTCTATTTTTTTAAAGTCACAGATATTTTTAAGTAAATGTTTTTAAAGTTAACTATAAATTAAAAGTTTACAACCAATAGTGCTTTCCAAGCACCTCCGATATTTTACTGAATGCTACTTCGATAAAAGTTATTTGTAAACATTAACCTTCGATAAGATTTCTAACTCGCAATAATTTTCTGTGAGAAAGTGAATGAAGCCTCTCCAAGGTATACTCGGTTAGAAATATATGCAAAATGCATCTTACTAAAATGACTTTTGAAAAAACGTTATATGTTCATATTATTTGGTCAAAATAGATTATCCACCGAAATTCATCCTCTTCATATTCTTCATACCATACAACAGTCTCCACTAAAAGGTTTCAGAAAAATCACACTCCAAGGTTGAAAAAACGAAAATCTGATCAAAGTGTACTTCGGTGATGATTTTTCAAAGCAGGCTACTTTGAATGGAAATAAAACAACAACGTGAGAAACAAGAAAAATAGATAGGCAGGTTGGTGCTTGAACTTTTGAAACATCGAACTAGTTGGAAATATAGTTGTTTAAGACATATCCAAACAACATTAACTACTATTATAAGTGTTGAATTTTCTATGATTTGTTGTTACATCATTGATCAAAGATGTTTAATTTTCTTTATATGTATATATATATATATATATATATATGTATATATGTGTGTGTGTTTTTCATCTCAATTAATAAAAATTAAACTAATGAATATTTGCGGTTAAAACAACCAAGATCCTACACTATAATAACATAAAATAACATACACTAGATTTAGATTCCAAACATTTTTAATGATCTACAGCTAAAAGTCTGCTCCATAAACAGAGACAATTTTAAATTATTTCTTCAGCCAAGAAAATTAATACTAATCTCCATTCCTTGTTGATGGCTTTTTTATTTTCACAAATTATATTATTTTTAAAATAATACGGCGACCAAGAACAAGAAGCAACCTTGGTATTTTCCCAGGAAGAAGCGTTCTGTTGAATTCTAAACTTATGAAGTCAAAACTTACAATTCGTCCCCAAAAATGAAAAAAAAAAGTCAAACTACAAAAATCCAAACTTTTCTTCTCCTTCAAGCCTCTCCACATTACTATATAACCTAACTCTAAGTCCACAAACTCTTCACAACAAATTCTATCATCATCTCGATTCATTAGTTAATATAACAAAAACAAAAGTTTTTTGTTTGAATTTCTCAAATACCACTCCAAGAAAATGATGATGAACAAAGTCGTTCTGAGGTCGATTCTGTTTTTCATGTTGGTTGGTTCGGTTCTTTTGGTGGAGGCTCGTCCGTTGGGTTTAACGAAGGCCGACGAGAAGCTAATGGCTAAGTTCTTCGATGGTTTGTCACTTGGAGCGATCAAGGAGTCGGGTCCTAGCTCTGGTGGTGAGGGTCATCATTTCGTGGATCGAAGTGAGCCGGTTGTATATAGTAAACACTCCGGTCCCAGCTCGAGTGGACCCGGTCACTAACTAAGGACCGGACTGTGAAGTTGGCTGCTTCGGTCTAGCTCCAGAAATTGATTGATTACATATTCTTTCGTTTCGTTTATTTGTTATACTTTACAGATTAGTTTTTTAGGACTTTTCTTTAATTTTTACCATATACAATGCTGGAGAACAAAATTGGAGGAATTCAAGAATTGGTAGAGCCTCTTTTTATTCTCTCTAGGCTTTTTGTTTGTTAATTATTGAATTATATTTGAAAATAATGTACAATGTAATAAAATTCGTTGATTCTTTGAATAAGATATTAATCTATTTATTTCTTAATTGGGTAAAAATAATGCATAAAATTGTTGGCAACAAAAGTATATCAATGCAGAAATTAAGGTGAACTAGTTTTAAAATTATACACTTTCAAGTAATTATTTTTCAATAAAAAAAAAGAGAACTACTTACATTAAAATTAATGATTTAATTAACTTACTCATTTTAATAGTTATTTTTTTTTATCAAGAAGAATAAGAGTAATAAGTAGAAAAAAAAAGTAGAAGTTAGAGAAAAATAGAAGGAAGAAGAAAAGTCAAAATATATAAAAAATATAAAGAAGAAAAAGCAGATGAAGACAAAGTAAGAGAAGAATAATACATACATCAAATAAATTAAATTAGTAAAATTAGATGAAGAAAAACCGAAAGAAAACAAAATAAAGAAAAAAAAATCGAAGACGATGAAAAGAAAGATGAAAAAAAAATAATAAAAAGAGGAAGAATAACACGAAGTTAAGAAAGAAGAATTTTATAAAATACAAAGATAAAGACGTTGAAAATGAGTAAATAAACCAAAAGATAAAAATAACAAGTTATGAGAATATGAACATGAGAAATGAGTTTGATAAAATCAAAATATAAGAAAAAAATATATCATAAATTAGATGTTCAACGATTTGTAATAATAGTTATTAAAAATGAAATATTTGATGTGGTGTTGAGTGTGGGTGTCGAGGGTGTCAAGTTTTACCCTAATTGAAATCAATAGCCGCAAGTGCACAGCTGATCAATTGTAGTACTTAGGGATCGAATCCACAGGGGAAGGAGGATCTTTTGCCGCAAAAAGCCTTTGAAAATAAGTTAAAATAAGGAAGTCTAGAACTAAACGGTTTAATGGGGGTTTGGTGGTGTCTTTAAAATGTAAAAACGAAATATTAAAAGAGAATACGAGAATTAAATGACGTAATAACTAAACTTAACGAAAATGACTAAAAATGATAAAAACGGATATTCTAATGATTAAATGAAAATGAACTAAAAAGGAAAGACAATATTGAACTAAAGCTTAAAGAAAATCGGTGTAAATCAATGGAGAAAAGGCGTTGGGGTTCAGGGAAGTTTTCTCAGGGGTACGAACGATTCAAAACATTGCTAGAGAGGAAATTTTGTAAGATCTTAGCTTAAACTTTTCGAACTGGAGTCACGGACGTATGAATACGCCACTGTCGTGATCATAGACAACTATCTCTCTCAACCCTGACCAGTAGGTTTCCACTCTGGCCATGGAAGAGAAGAGATGCATTATGTTTAAGACTCGTCCTAATTCACAAATCACCCATAGGTAGGTTTCCACTCCTATGTTTGTTTTGCTCTCCTAAATTAGATCTGATACCTGATGAACACTTTCGCTTCACCAAGCATCTGGATCAGATTGTAGTTCATGACGCTACCTCATGCAGTAAAAACGAATTCAAAAGAAAAAGTTCTAAGATTCAGCTCAAAAGCTCATGGAATCCTCATCGAACATATAAATCCCCATCGAAAATCCCTTATTCCCAACAATAAAACTACTCAGACATAATAAACGAAATCAAAGACATAGTATTAAGATGTAGAATAGAAACCAAAATTGAAAAAGAAAGAACAAGGGTTCAAGAGAACAAATCTCTCTCTCCCTAAAAGCTAAAGCAAAAACAATAAAAATATGAAGTAATGATAGATGGTATTCGGTTACACCATTTCTAGGGCTCCTAAGACATGTATTTATAGTGCTCAAGACCTCTTTGGACGTCACTTAAGGTTTCTCCAAATGTGGGTTTCAGAAATGGGCTTTATGGGCTCGGAGGTTGAAGGCCGCGGTCGGGACAAGTGTGACCGCGGTGGATGAGTGGTTTGCCGCGGTCGGGATGCTCCTGACCGCGGGAAATAGCTTGTTGGCCGCGGGTGGAAGTGCTGGCCAGCTGGTTTACGGGACATCTTGCTCTTCGCGTATCTTTTGATTGAACCGTTGGATTGCCAAGCTGTAAAGTGCACTGGAAAGCTGATACTTCCATCTTTAAGGTCTCCAAATTTGAGATGGATCAGACGGTGAGAAGGCCTTCAATCAGGGGTGAACTTCTGATGGTTTGATTCTGAGCTGAAATCTGGTTTTCTATCCATTTTGTTAAGCTTTTTCCTAAGTTACCTAAAAAGAGTCTTGGAACTACAAATACTAGAAAAACGTGATAAAAGTACTTAAAAGCAATTAAAAACATAGAAAAATTATTTCAAAACGATCCATAAAAGTGGTCAAAATATGGTGTTATCAACTCTCCCAGACTTAAACCTTTGTTTGTCCTCAAACAAAACAAAAGCCTAAACTGGTTAAGTGAAAACAAAAATAGGGAATGCACAAATCTCATAGACATGAACTCTAAACTAGGACCAAAGATAGTGCATCAATCCACAGCTTAGTCTAGAAAATTCTCACCAAAGCACAAGAGATACTAGTCCACTTTTTCCGTCATGCAAAACTTAAACAATTTAAATCTTGATTTCAGTCAACTAGCTCTCTACATTCATTAAGTTCAATAGTGAGTTCTCATTAAAGACATCATCCAGGGTAGACGGCGTTTGGCATTAAAAGGCTATTTAAGTGGTGGAGTTAAAGTGTTTCGGGTTACCTGAAGATCTGGAGGATGCAAGATAATATGCAAAACCGCAAGAGAGATAAGGAGCTGTTGATGACCACAGTTTTTCAGTCACTTCTTCTTGCCAAATGTTGTTGCATAATCCTTCCTCCTTTGTTGTAAACAGCTGTTCCCCCAGACTTAGATTCTTTCCGGGAATCAGAAAAACAATCTCCAAAACTCCATAAAATTCGACCTCTCTAGACTCTCTAAGGCTTTTATTTCATTTCTTTTCTTATTTTCGGATTTTTTTTTTTTTTTTTGGAAAGGAAATGCCTTTTAAAGAGAGAGAGACTAGAGGACGAGATTATACCAAAATTTGAGATTTTTCTAAGGCAAACTGAGCTTCCTCTTGTGTTGAATCCTTCCGGAAACTTTTCCGGCAAATCGCAGGTCTCTGTCCTTGGTGACTGAAAACTGCGTCGTTCCTCTTTCTCTCCAACGTTTTTGCACTTATCTGCATATAAGACAATAGAAAACAAGAGTGCATGTGGTTTGAAAGAGGATTGGTTAAGGTGGGGAACTAGCTAAAGATGAACTAGCCATTCAGGATCAACAGAGAGTGGTAAAAGGATAAAAGAGTCCTGAATGTATGATTCGTTTCCCTGGTCTAATGCTTCAATGAGAAAATTAAGTCCAAATTAAGTCCAAATAAAACAGAGCTAATGTATCCCTTCATCTAAATCAAAATCATTCAAATTCCTCTGGGGTACTTCGTTTCAAATGTGCTTAGCTACCGCCTAGTCTAGTCCTAAATCATGAATGAGCAAGTCAACTATCATTGATTCATGTTCACCATTCCCTTTTAAAACGTATTTTGTTTTGAAAACCGGTTTTGAAAAACTTTAAGGAAAATGCAAAAAATGTAGATAATGCAAGACTCATGAAAGAAAAGTGGTTAGAAAGGGATGAAATCCTCCCCCAGATTTAAATCACACTGTCCTCAGTGTGAAACAAGTCGAGATTGGATGAGAAAAATGCATAGCTAATCGAATTGGTAAGAACAAAGAGAACTTACCTGGATCCGGGATGCTGGTGGAGATGAACCGGATTCATTCGAAGAGGTTTGGGAAGGTGATTAGGTGGTGATGAAGGTGGTGGAAGGTGATGAATGAGGTGGAGGGTGATTGGTGAGGTGAAATGAGGTGAAAGGGCGGGTTTTGATCTCAACGACCAAGTGCCGCGGTCAGGGGTTGCACGACCGCGGCGAACGAGCACTTGGCCGCGGTCAGGATTACGCGACCGCAGCCGACGGTAGGTTTCCCGCGGTCAGAACGTTTGCGACCGCGGGGGCTTATATCGCGGCCTCTTCCTGCTTCTCTTTGGTTCCTGCTGGGCCGAGCAGTCAGGTACCATCCTTCTTTTTGGTCTTTTCTGGTTTTTTGATTTTTTTTTTTTTGGTTTTTTGTTTTATAAGAAACACCTGAAACTAAGAAAAAGAAAAAGATCAAAAGAAAAAGAAAGAAAAATTCTAAAGAAAACAATACTTAAATGGGTTGCCTCCCATTAAGCGCTTCTGTTTTAAGTCGTTTAGCTCGACTTTTGGTGTTGGATGTGACTTATTCCAATGAAGAAGACCTTGTCCTGAGACAAGTCTTTTTCGACATCTCCTTGCTTTGCTTAGCAGGTTCGATATGGTAGCCTCCTCCAGGATCAAAAATCAGTCTTGAAACTTCTTTGAGGTATGAGTCTTCAACACCACTTGTGACAGGAGAACGTCTTAGATGCTTGTATGATGAGGTGAATAAGGTCTCTCTTACTGCATGACATTGAACCATGTTGCAAGAAACAAGGATAGATGATTCTTTATGATCTGAAGTGGTGGAGATGGTTAAGCATCCAAGGTGAGGACAGTTTGCTTGGAGAGGTGTCGCCATGGCTTGAACTGTTGGAGAATTGGTAAAAAGAGCATTGGCTGGTGGAAGTGTCGCGACCGCGGTGAAAGGTGGTTTGGCCGCTGGTAGCGCACACGCGACCGCGGCGAAAGGTGGTTTGGCCGCTGGTAGCGCACACGCGACCGCGGTGCCGAATATCCTAGGAAAGATGTTCAGATCCTCTTGCTTCTTGTCTCCAATTCTTTTTCCTTGTGGAGAGTCTTCGGAAAAGAGTCTTGAGAGCCATTTAAACTCCACTCTTGCTTCGATTAAGTCTGCATCACCTCTTATATGAGCATTAGTTAAAGGTGTGCATAGGAAAATACCTTTGTTTGTCAAACTGTAAATCCAGC